CATTTCTTCTTAGAGTCTGTGAAACGACAAAACCCACAGGATATTTGTCAGATAAGTAAAAAAAAATGCAAGCTTTTGTTGCGTCAACAATGAGGTTACTATTCCTCACTTCGTGTTTTGAAGATTCCAAACTTAACATAATAAATGCAAAAGTCCACTGTCTGTCTGTTACATTTCCACGCCTAACTCGGTGAACCAATTTCGATGAATTTTGGTATAGAGGTAGATGGGACCCAGGAAAAGGACACTTTTTGTCAACAAAACAAATGAAAATCTTAAAGGGGGTTAAATAGGGGATGAAAGTTTGTATGGAGAACTAATCATTTCTCAAGTAAGTGATTTGAAAATTCATATTTATGCCTTTTGTAAGAAATAAACACTGTTTCAGCGTTTATGACCAATTACATCTCAAAGTTAAACAGGGAATGATTTCAATTTATTTCTTAAGTGCAAAAATTAGTACAGTACAATAGGCTACTCAAAGCACTATCAGGCAGAGAAGGAAAAAATCTAAATAAAACAAATGTAGAAATAAAAGATTATCTAGATATTTTACGCAACAAAATTAACAAAAAGCGAAAAATATTTATTTTTACTTTTGTGTTAAAAGAACGAATATAGGAGATAGTATTTATACACTTTATACTTAGCTCACACACAAAAACAAACGATCTCTTCCAGATAATCTTTAATTCAGAGAAAAGTGGAAGATGTAGCATTTTTTTATAATGTCAAGTGACAGGACGAACGAGTCGTGGCATGCTACACGCCTGTCCAAAACAATTGCAGTGCCACTCGGAGCTTTCAATCGCAAGGATCTGAGAAGCACTGCCACTGCGCCCGTCACCCTGAGACATAAGTTGACAAGTCCCATGTGCCTGTAATTTCACCAGCACCCTTACCCTTCCAAACCGGGATTTGGCGGCAGAAATAGGTAAGGTGGCAGTACTTCCCTGGACGAACTCTTTCACAACGAGCTCTACTGCTGCTAAGCCACTTACGGCGAAGATATTGGCTAAGAGCGATACCACACGGCGCTGTCGGTGCGTTGCATAGTCGCAACGCTATGACTTCAACGCACCAAGTGCAACACGAGCAATACTGGGTAATGCCGCTTACTTACACAGCGCGCGTTCCTACCTTGCTCGCCGTTTCAACGCAGCGGTAACGGCATTCAGGCGTCGCAACGACGACGCAATGCATCGTGTGGCATCGCTTTCAGATGGAAATACTGCTAACATGTTCGTAACAATGGAGACGTTTATTATGGAATTTCAGATTGATGCAGCAACAGGCAAAACAGAGACCTACATTTCAGTCCTAACTCGCTCTATTTGTCTGGCAAGATGCTTTCAGAAGATGGGCTTGCAACCAGGAGACGTTCTCGCTCTAGGAGGCAGAAACCATTTAGATCTGAGGATTCCTTATTTTGCAGCTTTACTTACTGGATTGCCTATAGCTGGTGTTGATCCGTTTTTCAAATACGGTATGTAACTTACATACAGCAAAGCTAGTCCAAATCTGAAATCGTTTAAGATTTTTGGAAGTTTTTAATATGTACCTACTTCAGCCAGTACATAAACCCTTAGTACGTAATATTCATAAATTTAAAATGTATAATTCTTATGAAGTTTGACAATTGTCAGCAGCGGATGTCCATGTATGAAGGTGGAACTTGAAAAGCAGCATGTAGGGCTGAGACTCCATCCTTTTTATTAGCTCTAGATTTTACATTTCCGAAACTGTTAACTGTTAACCTTTTGATTGTAAACGAGCCCTGTACCCCACCTTCGGTGGGATCGGGCTCGGCCTACGGCGCGTGGTCGGGTTCAGATTATGGGGTGTGCGCATGCACGGTGGCACAGCGGTTAGTACTATGGGTGCTTGATGAGGAGGTTCGATTCCCCATTTGGGCCAATTTAAGAAACGAACTTTTCAAAGTTGGTTTTGGTCTGAGTATTCTGGGTATTGCCCTCAGATTTGTCATTATTCTGGTATTCATAGTTTTGGCAGAAGTTTGGCATTTTCCACCCTAAATACTTCTTTTTGGCATAGTTTAAAAAAAAAAGGCATCTAACAGAGGGACGGTCGAGATACAACAACGCTATTATAAGTATCTCATTTCCACTGACTCGGGAAGTATGCCTTACATTTTTACAATTGTGAGATGTTATGCTCGTAATCTGTTATGCCTCCGAATATTACCTCTGTAGGATGGTGTGCGGACGCTTCGGGCTTCGCCCTCCGCATACCTCGGCCTACGGCCTTGGCACTTATGTCTTAGTTTTAAACAATTGAAATAGCTCTATAATGGCGGCCATGTTTAAAAAAATTGCAAAAATATATTTTGACCACTAATTATGATCAGACAATCATTTCATGCCAATTTTCTGCCCAAGCAAATCAAATCTTCTTTTATTATGCGCCCGGCCCAGGAATGGAATTCCCTGCCTGCGACTGTGTTTCCGAACACATACAATCCGAGTATCTTTAAGATGCGACTGAATAGGCATCTTCTGGGCGAGCTCGTTCCATCGTAGACCCTACCTTTGCTCCAGGGCTAGGTCAAGAGCAAGTCCATTTAATTAAAAAAAATACAGTTGAAAAATAAGTTTAAAAAGTTGTTCTTTCAGGAACATTACAACAACCCTGAAGAGACAGCAAACGCGTTTTGTGACGGCTGGTTCAAGACCTGTTGTACAAAGATGAAAATGACAAATATTACTTCGTGGATAGACTGAAAATGCTTATCAAATAAAGGAACATTCAAGTAACTACACTAAACAATTCGAAATTAACGGTTTTACGGTTGCTGGTATTGTTATTGACCGAACATTATTTTATACAACGTATCCAATGTAAATACCTCCATGTGCCTCCATACCAGTCCGTTTCCGTGGTAGCAGTAGCACCAACGGACTCCCATCGTTATACGAGTAGCATTGGGTGCAGCTCCACACCAGGATATAATTTTCATTTTTTTTTTCCAAACTTACTAACACTAGTCCTGAGATAATTTGCTATTGCCTACTATGGACAAGATCCCAAAATAAACATTTTATTATTATAAATAAAATGTACTTCAAGTTCTACTACACTTAGATGCTGTGGCATTCTATCAACTATTTTTTTATCAAACAGATAATACCAACAGAGCTAGAAGAATTAATAAGTTCTCTAGAAGGAGTAGAAGAAGTGGCCGTTGTAGGTATACCAGACCCTATAGATGGAGAAAGGCCAGTCGCATGTGTGGTGAGACAGCCGCGCTTTGACGTCACATCACAAGAAATCAAGGATCTAGTTACTAGTTAGTGTGCTTTCAAAAAACTGACAGTATTATTTTATCGAGTTCTTAGGTTTCGCGATTGTTACACATAGGAAATGAAACTATTTTTCCGGATATAAATCGCGTATATTTGTTTTTCAAACAAACCGAGACGTTTCGAGCCCTTTACAGGTCCCATGGTCACGGTTGGCTGAGGTGGTACAGTCTTCAACCAGTTATGTCTAATATTGATGCAAACCACCCTATTTTTTCACTACAGTTGCAATAGTTATTAATTAAATACCTTATTTTAATTTTACAAAGAAAACATTCCAATTTACGCTACATTAAGTTTTACAAATTATTTTATTGAATGAATTTTTATTAAGTTCAATTTATTATTAATTAATAATAGGAATTAGAAATAAACTAAAACATATTAATTTATAGTACTGCAGTCTTATGTCTGTTTGGAATTTTTCATTAGAGGAAATACTGGATCCCAAACTGGTGGTATGGAAAAACCATCTTTCCTGTTGAAATTGGGATGTTTTTTAATTTCAATGGCCTCTCGCAGCATCCTGGGTAGATAACGGACTTCTTTTGCAAGCATTATTTTATTTTTATAGTTCTTACTAGTTATCGCATGATGATATTGTTTGATGCAGTGCCTTTAGTTGTAGTGTATTTTCCTTATCCGTAGGTTATGGACATATTATACAACATGTTCTATAATTAGACTAATTAGATTCAAGCGTGCAAAATAGCTCCGCTTGTGTTTAATATTTTTTTCATTACGTATATAAAATTAATAAAATAAATAACACAAGCGCAACTGCAGTCACGGATGCCACCACCAAAAACATGTTTAATAATAATTGTGACTGTAGCTAATTTACTTTCATTTTTGTTAATCGACATGTGGACGTAAAAGTTTTATAAAATGTTGGCTGACGTGTCGGCTAACAGAACCAACATCATGTCGGCTCGTTAACGGAGTCCCTTTACTATGCTTTTGCGAAAACGGACACATTTTTTCAGGTAAATTATCAGCGTCCAAACAGCTACGTGGTGGAGTAATATTCTTGGAGAAACTACCGAAGACTTCCACCGGAAAGGCCTTGCGACATGCACTCGTTAAGATAGCCTTACAAACGAAAAAATAATAAGTAGTAATGTTTCGATTAAGTGTAAACAAATTATCTATTTGTGTAAATAACTATAAAGTTCAATTAAGTGGTAAACTTCCTACGTACCAATAGTATTTAGTAATTAAAGACTAATAAAATTAAACAAAGATTTTTTTGTAAAGTTGATTCTTTAATGTTATGTGAAAATTAAAGAAATATGCATATTTTGGACTTTTTATTTGTGTAAGGACAACGTTGAAATGTCGTTTTCATGTGGTTTTCATTTTATTTTTTTCCATCCTCTAAGGGTTTTCATCCTATACTATGGAAACTAACACCTACGTTTTTTATCTTTCATACAAATTCATGTTGAAACCTAATTCCTAAGCCATTATAATTTTCCATGACGTTCCTTTACATGCTTTCCCAATGTTCGGTATTTCAAATTATACTAATATATCAACAAATATTATGATCACATATCTTACATATTTTAATAGCAACTAGAACATTGTGTGAAAAAGATTACTAAAATGTATGGTTAAAAGATTAAAAACAAAAACTTCGTACCTTGGCAGTATATTTAGAAACATCATCTGCAGGAAATGATACATGGTATTGACGAAATGCAAACTGTCAGTGTCATTGGTGTTCTCTGTTTTTGGTTATATTTATAAATATTGTTTTGCTGTTTTGTTTTACATTCTCAACTGAGTACTCCCGTAGTCCAACTTACCAACACCGGTTAATGTCCTATTAGAGCTTAGCGAAAATTTTTTTTTTTGTTTCGTTTTTTTTTCTTTCAACTGTGACATTGGCAAAATCATCAGTTCTCATATTGATGGAGCCATAAAAATAAAAAGTGAAGTGGGGTTCGACTAGGAACATTTATTTTTCGCGAAAAAATGTCTTTTTTCCATTTAAGGTAAACGAACCATGGATGAACACGAGTTCTTCAAACAAACTGTGCAGCACTTAGCCCGGTGTTTGTCTAGTATCAACCCAACGCCATGGGAAAAGGTATGTTGTGGCATACTCTTCTTTCCTAATTTAATAACAGGATAATCGATCATTTTACGATGAAACGGTCACTTTTTCACTATTAACTTTGGTTTTAATGTTTATTTATTAATACTACACCATATGTGCATGTTGGAATGGTAAGCTAGCGGCCGAAGTCCCATCCATTTCCATCGGAAAGCGTGATCTCATCATGAGTTACAGTATTGTTATTTTGACAATTTTAGAGGTTCACTGGCCTTGATACCTTCAATGCTATAGTGATTACGTGTAATTTAATTGTTCTGGGAAATTCGAATCGTATTTAGCTGTATTTACAAGATTTATTACCTGCGAAGTTTTGCAATCTATTTACGATTATGTTTACTGCGGTGATGCTAAAGATAACACATAAGAACACCTTTTATCTTCCATTATTCGTCACAGCAAACAACTAAGTGTATTGCGTAAAACCTTGTGATATATTTTTATTTAATACATAAATGGGGTGACGGGCGCGGTGGCAATGCCTCTCAGATCTTTGCGATTTAAAGCTTTGTGGGAGTACAACTGATATAGATAGGCCTGTTGCTTACAACCAGGAACACAACTTGTTTGTCCTGTCGCATGTTATTATAAAAATAAACAGAAAGAAAAGTAATTACTAGTTCCAAATATAAAGAAAAATAGAATGCACTTGTTGAAATAAAATAAAATAAATTAAACCTTTTGAATCACATTCAAAATCATGATCTTGTTTGTACTTTATTGAATTTAAAATACTACAATTAATAACTGTAAATGAGAACAAAATTGTATAGAAAAAAAAAACAGTGGTAGATCTCGTTTCTTTCCAATTTGACATCGTAATTGGTTTCACAGTGATGTGGTTAGGGCCTAGCTTTTGCATTCCAAACATGGCACAAATAGAAAGTATAATTTCATAATTAACAAAGTTACTGAAGACAATATAATGAAAGCTTGATAAACTTAACAGCCAAGCGCGTCAGTTTCGCCACACCCTGAGCACTCTATACAACAGTCGAAAATTATTTACCTACTACTACTACATACAGCAAGGCGCTATCTGCACACGCGCAACTGTGTGCGTGAAGTGGCAGGGTTACCCATCACTTTCTCGCACTATTATGTTACGTGGTCAGAGCGTGAACATAGTGAAAATTCTAACGTTCAAACGCGAACCTGTTATCTATGATTCCATTAATAGAATCTTAATAATTATACATGTCTATTAGGTATTTATATTGATATATTATTATATTTTTCATTAATTCACTAACTAGAGTAATATTGAAGCTTTATTTCAAAAATATGCTAAAAGCACTTAAAATGTTATATTTTGGACATGTACTTTTAAATAAGGTAACCAAGGTATTTGAAATTGCTTGTCCAAGTTTAGTTAATAAGTAGATATATTCACTACCTACGTAATATTTATTGGCAATATGAATAGAAAATTTGCGAAGTCATGGCGTCTCATTATATTGATATAATAAATCTGTATTTTTTATACATACATATATTACTCTGCAGTAAACAAATGAAGAAAACAATGACCGAATGAGTCTCAAACCTGAGTAGGCCCCCTGATCAGGTATAAATATTATGATTGTGTCCCACTTGTAAAATAATCATGGTTCTAAATGATAATTATGATCAATAATTATGGTAATTATCACGATGATTGTCTTGTAAGTGATAATTATCATGTTAAATGTTTTCATAAATATACCTTAATACTTATAAAATTAATAATAGTATGAATGTGGAAGGATGAGAGAATATGGATAAGAAAGGTGTGAATATGGAAATGACGGCTAGGGGGGAGTGGAAGAATAATACATGTCGTGCTGACCCCACCTAGCGAGGGATAAGGACAAGAAGAAGATTTATAAAATTAATTGGAACAACAAAGTGCTACCATTAGCAATGTTGTGCCATGTGCTCGTAACAGTATCAAAAAATGACAAATATCTATCTCAAAAAGTCACTAATGAAATTGTTTTCCCAATGATTTTTCTTTATGCTTATTTAGTTTTCTCACTTTTTGTCATTTTTAGACAAAGATTTAAGAGACAAAACTGTATCAGCGTGGATAATTATGGGGTATATGTTGTATAATTATCAGTGAAAACGAATATCTTGATAATTTTGAACCCTGAAAATAATTCACCTTTGAGTTGCAATATTGTGCTTATTGATTCCAATAATCTATACTGTGCGAATTCTTTCAGGTCAACACCCTCTTCATGCTATGTCCTCAAGCAAGCTCCGAATTAATAATAACACCACGCAGTCAAGAAGCCTGTATCGCACTTGGGCTATACTTCTTGCAGAGCGGACTACAGCACCAAGAGAAACTGTTGCCATATTTCCTTAAAATATTGAAGAGTTTAAACAATGCCCAGTTTGAAGAACCTCTGTGTCGGATTAAGAATGCAGACCGTAAGTATGCAAAAAAATTTTTACCTTATTTTAAAACAAATTCTATGCACTTGTTAAATTATTGTGTGGACAATTCAAAATATATCAAACACTCCTTAATCAAACATACTTTTTGTTTCAAGTTATTAAATATAATTAAAATACAATTGTTTCAAATTTGCAATGCCATGCCTAAAGTTATTCATGATAATGGATTAATAGGTCTACAATTTTTTATTAAATGTTTCTTGGAAGTTCTTCATATGTAACTTGGAGGGCTGGTGGTACATTAACAGCATTGTTAACTAAATATTATTAAAAAATGATACTTGGTAAATTTTGTTATAAACTTCTTACAGTATATTTTGGTAATTAACTCTTGAGGAGTGAATGAAATTTGGCAGAATTATTCTTTCAGTAAATTTTTCATGAGAAACATTAATGTAAGTAATATTAATAATACGAAAATCTAAAATAAACTCACTCTTCTTAACACTCATTTGCACAAACTTACAAATTAATTCAGGCTTTTTATATAACCTCTAGATTAAAATTTTTGATACTCAAAATTTTCAGTTCATTGAATTTATGAAACAAAAACATTAAAAGCTTACATTGAATATACTTGGATGACAAAATTCCATGGCAGTGATCTCTTTAGCTCTTTATTTATTTATTTAAATATTTATTTATTACATATTGCTTACAGTCAACCCAAACGCAATAGTAAGACTTAAAGCTAAACTCTTTTAGGTTTCCCTATGACATTTTCTAGGTAAATGTTGTAAATGATAAACATGAACAAAATATTTATGAAGAAAGAGCAATCCTATGATATAGTTTTCAGAAATGTAACTTAGATATTTATAATAATAAATTCACACACCTAGCTAAGTACAACATGCGTATTGACATTAAATTTAATATTAATACAAATAATCGTTGATGACAATAAAATATTTTAACTCCCCTTTTACATTTTCAATATTCAAATGCGCATTTTCGCGGTCAAAGTATTCATATTAGTATGAATTATGAATGTTTTTGGTAGCAGTAGAGCTCCTTGTGAAATTTCGTCCAAGGAAGTGCTGCCCTGTAGTTATCTATTTCTGCGGCCAAGCAGTAATGTGAGCATTGCTGTGTTCTGGTTTTGAAGGGTATAAGGGTGTTAACGAAATTACAGGTGCAAGGGACTTGTCAACTTACTTCTCAGGGTGACAGGCGCAGTGGCAGTGTCACTCAGATCTTTGTGATTTAAAGCTCTGCGTGGCAACTATTATAGACAGGCGTGTCGCTTGTCACCAGGTGCACAACATGATCGTCTCTTTACTAAGTATCATAAAAAACCTTTTTTGGATGGTTCTCAAATTCAATTTTAGTTATCAATAATATAAAAAAACACGTTTGTGCTGGTTTGGTACAATTTATTTAATATTGTCTATTAGGAATGATTACCATTTTCTATATATTTATAGTAGTACAATGATTTCAGAAATTATAAAAACGAATTAGGAAACTACTGACATCGGAAGTGTTCTTCGTATCTCATGATTTGCTCATACAATCTGAAAATGAAAGTAAAGGTAAACAATAAATAACAATATTAAACATACAGATTAAGTAAATCATAGAGCAAACTTCGTCATGGTTTGTGACTTATTCGATATGGTAGTTTATTTCCTAGAACTATTCAGTAAACATGCACTACTTCTATTATAAAGATAGATAAAAATGTTGTGAAAATCTTAGACAGAATCTATTTCAATATTTTTATGTTTGTTCGTAATATATGTTTTCCCTTTTTCATTTTTATTATAAAAACACTTAAGTGTGAATTTGATCTCCATATCACTTGATGGAAAGTGACGATGAGGTCGACAATGGAGCATGCACACTTAAATAACGCCTATTTACTCTAGTCTTGAAACGGCCCAAATTATATCGTTCAGGCAGCGAAGCCGTTTGCCATATGAAAAAGCGAAACTACAACATAGGAGTGGAACTTCAGCGTATGTCTGGTCCCCCGAGGATGGAAGGAAACGCGGAATTAAAGCCGTTTTCTCGCGATGTGCAGGCAATGTGCGGTATCTAAAGCTAGGGAGGGGCGGAGAATGTCCGTTCTCTTTATTTTTGTTCACTGCTATAGGTAGGTCTCGAAAGACCTATCAGAGCTAAGTCCGCCATTTTCGCTTTCTATGGTATGGTTGTGTCATTCTTTCGTGCAAATTCTCTAAAATCATAGAAAAATGCCTTGTTGTGCTGTTTTGGAGTGCATAAATGAGCCGCACCAAAAATATTACCTGTGGTGTTGTTTTATATCATCGGAAATACTTATTTTAATAAAGTAAAGTTTATACAAAAATATACATAATACATAATCGATTTTGGAGAACTAAATTAATAACTCCAATTCGTCGTCGTTCAGCAATAAACCGCTAGATGGTAGCACATTGATTGAAATTTCAATATAGTGTCAAAATGTCGTAAATCGTATAATAGGTATTGATTGCCAATAGGGTAAAGTTTAAATTAGATTAACAATCCAGAATTTGTCATTTCTTTTTAAATTTGTAACTACGACCAATCAATATCCAGATTTTGTAGAATGTGTGAGTTTTGACGACATATCGGTCCTGATAGTAATCGAGGCTTAAAGCACTTCCATTGTTTTTTCCGTCTTTATTCTCTAGTCTAGTCATTCAATTATCAATGAAATTTAAAAAAAAAACTATTTCATTGATAATTGAAATGTATAGACAAGCCATGTGGCTTTTTTTTTCAATCAAATTGTTAGTAAATATCGTCAGAAAAATCTTGTTGGAATTATCCGGTGTTCATCGCTTCATAACTCTTACGTAAATTGTCACTCCTCTCGCACCCCGCAGCTACCGCAGGAACTGACGCCTCGTAAGTCAATTTAAATTTGCGTCACTGTAGTTTAAAAAAAAATTTAAACTAATTTGGTGCGATGTGCTTGATAAATAGATAGTGTTAAATAAGCCCTATCAAATAAAAAAATATATTATGTATTTTATTACATCACTTTCCACCGGCACCGGCGCCGGCGCTTCCGCTACCACCGCCGTTCGCTCCAAAACCAAAACCGGCCTGCCCATTGGCACCGGCATCACCTCCTCGAAACAAGAAAAAATGATTTCATTCCAGACGTATGAGACTTAAATGCCCGTGCAGTACACGTAGCAAACGTTCTTGTCTTTACGTGAATTACAAAGTTATTAGCTGTGTTCCGCAAGGACCGTTATTTGGTTCTGTAATTTTCTAATACTACACTATTTTATACAAACGGCCCGGAAGCATTTTAAAGTTCCAATAGTTCCTTGGTCTAACTTTTCCAGGGGTTTCGCAAGGAGCATTCCTGGGTCCTCCATGTTTTATTTTTTACTCTCTTAATAATAGTCGTGTTAAAATCGCTCGTGAAGGATGTATTTCGTATTATAGTGTTTACCTCCACCACCTCCCGCTCCACCGCCGGCATTGGCACCGAAGCCGAAGCCACCTGGAAGTCACAAATTTTTAATTACTAGAGATATATCCAACTCCCCCTCGTCATGCGTTGGTTTAAAATTATGTGTTATGTTTGTGCTAGTTTACAAAACAATGTAAAAGAACATACTTAACACATAAAGAATTAACATAATTATTGACGACGATGATTTAAATCCATGATACGTTTTTTGTTTTACAATTTCTATTCAATCTCGTGTTAGTAGACTTTTACATGATAATTATGTTTAATACAAACTATTCAGAGATTTTTAACCGACTTCAAAAAAAGGAGGTTCTCAATTCGACTGTATTTATTTTATTTTTTTAATTTTTATGTATGTTACGTGATAACTCCATTTGTGAACCGACTTTGATAATTCTTTTTTGTTGGAAAGAGGGTACCTCATTGTTGCTCCCATTTAAATTTGAAGAAAATGTTCTACCTCTAGGAGTGGCAAACTACGGGATCAATCCAGTTTCGCGAACTTTCCGTTAACCCATTGCAATAAAACTTGACAAAAAAAATAAAAATAAAATAAAAAAAGCCGATAAGCCAACTTTTAAGTTCGGTTTTTTTAGATAAAAAAGTTATAATTACTTGTTATGGATTCTAATTTCGAAGGAGTTACTAGTCCTAGAAAGATATTTCAATATTAATAATCTAGCTCACCAGCAAGTATTTAACATACATTTTCAGTTGGAAAGAACAAATATATATGTATCATTTTATCGGGCGTGTGCCAAAAACGAATAGAGATGCCAATTGAAATTCGAGCGTGTGTCATTGCGGCATCGAGTATATAACCAGAAACACAGATGAAATAAGGCCCATCCATCCCTGGCGACTCATCAGGTAAATGAGCCTTATATCACTTTTATATATCAACTCTCGTTTGCGCTGAAATCACAAATTAGAAAACTGAAATAGTACAGCGCCAACAACTTACCTGTGTGTACTTTCCGCATATTCCAAAAATATTCTATAAACTGACTAGTGAGTATTTATTGTAACAAACTGACTATTCGAATTCGGACTGGCCAAACGGAGCACAGTTGTCACCGTAATGATTTGGCAGAATAATTTTCAAACAAATTAAATGACATTTCGTCTCTTATTTCTGATTATATACTCGATGCACTACGGATACACAATTTACGTCCCGTCACTTGGTCTCATAAAAAAAAATTTAATGTCATCAACTTACCACTTGCCTCACCACCGCCACCAGCACCACCTCCACCTAAAATTACAATAAAAAGATATACTTGGAAATGAAAATTGTTTTCGAAATAAAATTATTCGTTACAATAGCTGTAAGTTTGATAGCATACCTTGTTGCATGCTCTGAAACAAAGAAAAACAAATTAAATTAAAAATTTTGAAGGCTTTTGAAAATAAAATATGTTATCGTCAATAACATCTATTGCAGCTCTATTGTTATCGCTAAGGTGGCAATTATGGCAAATCCACCTTTTTAATGGACATCAAAAAAATGAAGAGGTTCTCAATTCGGTTGTATTTGTTTGAGTATGTCACGCGATTACTCCGATATTTGTAACAAATATCGGAAACAATTTTGGCGTAGTCAATTTATTGGTCAAGCATGAGTTGTCCATAAAAATGATAATAAAATGGAATAAAAATTTTTTTTTAGTGCTGATCGACTCAGTTTTATGTGACGATCATTTCATTGTAAGGGACGAAAATAATCGGGACAGCAGAAGTTGGTCAAATTTCATAAAATGTTTTTCGTACAAAATGAATAAAATTAACAAATTTTTGTTTAATGCTGATAGACTCACTCTTATAAAGATGATTTCATTGTATAGGACGAAAAAAATCTGGACAGCAGAAGTTTGTCAAATGTAATAAAATGATTTTTTATACAAATGATAAAGAGCATGTCTAGTATCCTCTACACAGAAACAAACAAAACTAGATAATGATAGTTTTGTAATTGAACGTATTCTAATACTTACGGATCCAACCAACATTAGAGCCACAAATACAACAACAAAGTGCTTGTACATTTTCACTGTATAATATCAAAACCGATACTGTTCATTTACGTCTAACTCATCCATTTTATATGTTTTGTTGAATAACGATTCAACAAAAGATTTTATCTCCTGTGCAATGATGATGGTTTTATAAACGTTTCAAATTGATATAGTTTTTATGTAGTTTAGGTAAATGTCGTGTGATTTCGTTCTTAATGTTTTAGTTTTTTCTATTTTTTGGATTCTAAATTCGTGTGCCTCTTATTGTGAACTTTGTGGCTATAAAAACAAAAAACAATGTAAATGCACAAAAAACATACAAGAACAAACAAAAGTACAAACACAAAACAATGTTAAAGATTGATAAATACAATTAAATATACAGAAACCGCCTGTAGGGCTAGCACGACAAGATGCGACTTGCGCGAGAGCGAAATAAAGCGCGAGATACTGCTATTCTCGCACAAGGAATCACTCGCTTTATGTCGCGCAAGACATAAAGCGTGTGATTTAGCTAGCTCAACTGGGTAGGTACCACCGCCCGACGCTTGACACTTTGTACTTTGACCGTTCTTATCGTAAGCGGCATAGAGTTGGATTTAAATCTTAATTGTTAATCTTGACGTGCTCTTGATCCTGTACTACTGCCGCAAAGCATTATTACAGATACTTGTTGTATTGTGTTTAAACTATATATCATAATTATTTGTTAACTTAATAACTTGTTCCCATCTGTTTTTAATTATCATGTTATGCATCCCAGTTAATTATTTTAAAGTTTAAATAAATAAAGGAATAGTTACGCTTTATCACCAATTTAATTGTTGTACGTCTTTGTATGAGTCATAGTAAACAGACGTGACACGTGCGCTCTTCCTCGAACCTTTATTTCTATCATTGTTTATCGCGCCTAATGTTTCCTTATTAAGTTGTTATTACAGGCAGCCAAACGTACTAAGTCGCGTAATCCGAGTTTAAGGGTCGTATTCCAGAACTCTACTCAATGCTCAAGTCAGGATCTGAGTATGATTTCAAGCACTGGAAATACGACACTAATGGCAGGGACTTGAGTATGATTTCGAGTGCTAATCATACTCAAATCCTGACTTGAGCATTGAGTAGAGTTCTAGAATACGACCCTAAGGGCACCTTTAAATTAGATGCTTATAGAGGCGCTGCAGTGGCGTCACTGTGGCGCTGCAGCCGCGCTACTACTAATTTTCATACAAAGTGAATAGCATGTATTTAAATGATCATTTTAAATTTGCAAAAGTATAATATATAACGATAAACTATGCTATTTCAAAGGTGGTTTTTAGATTCAAGTACCTATAGTTAATCAGAAAGAAGGATAAACCGCCAGTGTCATGCTTACACATTTGAGGTAGGCGTCCACAGATCCGTAGCGCACGCATTGGAGGGATCGCATCGAAGTTCATACAACTCCGCTGATCCGCATCGGATAGACCGCACGTACCGGCCTGTTGGTAATGCCGACGTAGTTGTTCGGAGGGGCAACTTTTCCGATGCTTGCCGGTGACGTCATACGGATTGCGTATCAGTGGACACACATTGCGCGCCGCGCTGGCCGTCTAAAATAGCTAAATTTTGCATTCGGCGCCCGCGTTGTTGCTGACCATGGACGAAAAGTGGCGTCGGCAATCCGATTGCTGCGGATACAGTGGACGCACTGCCACAAACGGAGCCGTTTGATGCGATCCGTCCGATGCGTGTGCTGCGGATCTGTGGATGCCTACCTTTATAAGACAACTTAGTATAGGAGAGATTATGAATAGACCAGCTACTCTTTGTGTCAGCTAAACAGTAATTAGCCGAGCGAGCGCGTAGAGGCGCATCGCTTCATGTCTACCTTACATGCTTTAAAACCTACGCAACAACATTTCTACACAGATAGTTACAAACAGTTCCAGAACCATTGTATTATTGTATATTATATTGTAATGTATCTTTTCTGGTATAACTCAAGATTCTAAAATGCAATGCGGTCCATCACAGAACAGTAAACACAGTAGAAGTGCTTAGTTTGCGTTGCACAGCGGTTCTGATAGTTATCGTGACTTAAGGTACTTCAATTGTTTTATTCTTCCGTGGGGTCCACGAATAACTAAATTATCAAAACGGCTCAGTGTTGCTACACAGCAGATTAAAAAAAATGAAACTTTCAGACGTAGAAACCACTAGATTGGTTTGGTTTTTAGCTACTACCACGGTTTAGTAATGGACGACTTGGGGGCCTATCACAACCTCTTAAAACAATATTAATTTAACCTTACATTGACTTTTTGTACCATGACGCGCATAAAGTAAGCTTATTATAATGTTAAAACTATAATGTTTTATTGGCAGCTTTGTGACTATTCTTTCACTCAGTTCGTACTATGACGACACTTTAACATTAAAGTAATATTGTTCTTATGTAAAATTTAGCAATCTTAAAATAGTTGCACGGATGCAATGGAAACAATATTATTTTCAAATTTATCGACTAAATATTAATTTGTAGTGATTAAAAGTTAAGTTTAACTTATTTATTTACGTATATCTTTTCAATATTTTGTTTATTTTCGTAATTTAATCATCATCATGTAGTGCCTCTCCACTACTGGAGGCTGGCCGTCGGCTTGGAGAACTCTTCCCTGTCCTGAGCCAAGCGAAACAGATGTTCTATACTGGCAATATTGGTCCATTTCCGGATGTTGCACAACCAATACTTCTTCCAGTACGTCGTTTAGCCTCGATCTTGCCCATCATTATCAGTTGGAGAAGTCGGTACTTTTCGTGCCGTAGAACGTGTCCAAGATATGCAACTTTCCTTTTCTTGACGGTTTGCAAGAGTTCTCGGTCCCTCCCAACGCTCTGAAGAACTGCCGCATTGGGAACTTTCTGGGTCCAGCTAATGCGAAGCATTCTACGGTAGCACCACATCTCGAAGGCCTCAAGACGCCTCTGGGTGTCGGCTTTTAGAG